TTTATATAATTAATGACTGAACAACTACTTGAGATTTTAAGCCTTTTTCTTTTTCTTTTGTAGGTACAAGCAGCACAGTCAGAGGCTAAAATAGTAACACAGTACCATGATCTGGTAACCAAAGCAAGAGAAGAATTTCAGAAAGAGCTAGATAGTGTTACTCCTGACATTCAGACTGGTTGGAAGGGGCTAAGTAAGTAAGATAATAAAATATATAAATAGCTGATGTCATGACCAACATCTCCATTTGAATACTTGATTTTGGGGGCTGATTTAGCTTTATTAGCACTTTCTCCTTGTTAACTTCTTAAATTGATGCCTATTTAATTTTGTGTACTCTTAATCATGGATACTTTCTTTTGGGCTTGATATGGGTATATTCTCCTGTTCACTGCTTGGGGAATCCAAGCATGGGTTAACTTTGTCCATTAGCCTTGAGACTGAGTTATGCAAACTGCTGGCCACGCCTCCTCTGACTGGACTGGTTCAGGTTTTTAATTAAGTCCATCTTAAAGAGATGTAAAATTATTCTCTCTGGGTTACTAGACAAATTCATTATTATTATTATTCAGCTTGGATTCCCTTCACCAGCTTCAGCTCCTTTCACGGAGTGGTAAATATCTCTACAAATAGGTTTGTTTTCTCTTTGTTTGAAGTGGCAATTGGATTTTAGCGTTCCTATAGCCTTCGGGGCCAGGGAACCTCTTTATTGGAGGTGAGGGCATGCCGTTGTTCATTGTGGGAAAGTCGATTCGCTGCCTTCATTTTGTCTTGCCGAGGGAGTCTGGGGTTTGCCACCCCGCACTGCCTGCTCTGCCCCCCTCCTTCCCCCCGAGGTTGCCTGGCGACGCCATATGGCTGGGCTCCCTGTATTACCTCGACCTCGAGAGCCTCTGGAAGTTTCGGCTGCGGTCGCTGGCAAGATAAGAGACAGGCTTTCTCCATTCTGGCGGCAGCCTTTGTACCTCGCCAATTTGAATCTCCCACCCCTGCTGTTGGTCACGGGGCCATTTTGAAGCCCTTTTTGCGCCGACAAACTGGCTGGGCATGGCTTCATTTTCCCGCCGGCAGTGACGTAAAATCACCAGATTCATTGCTCCACAGAGGTGGGTTCGCCACCATTCTACTGAAGCAGGAGTTTGATCTCTCACAGCCTCCTGCTTCGATTGCGATCGGCATTTGGTATTACAGTGAACGTGAGCTTGAGCCCTTTCAACCTAGCTTACATAGCGAATCGTTCTATTACGGGGGAAGCGCTGGGGCTTCCACCTCTCCTCAGTTGTCCTCCGATGCCACTGGGACCTCATCTAGAGTGGATAGGACCACCACCAGGGCTGCCAGCCACAGATCCTGTGCCACCTCACCGGCTTCTGCCAGGGCTGCTAAGCACACCAGTAAGACCAAAAATGGATCTAGGGATCCCTCAGCCCCCAGGTCACCTCCCATCCTGCTGCCTGAAGGGCCTTCTACCTCCAGCCTAACTGGAATTCAAGGTTGGTCCCCAGACCTCCCTCTCCCTCAGGATCTCACANTTGATGACATTGTTCAAGTGCTGTGTCAGCAGAAAGAAACTCTTAGGTGCTGCAGATTGTCAGCGATTTCCTTCTCCAGCACATGGATAAATACATCTGGAAACATCTACCTACCTATCTACTCTCTCTCCCTACCTACCTACTGTATTTTCCCCCCTTTATCTACCTACTTACCTACCTTTTCTCCCTCCCTCCCTACTGTATTTCTCTCTCTCCCTCTCTCTCCCTCTGTCTACATACGTACCTACCTACTCTCTCCTCCTACCTATCTACTGTATTTCTCTCTCTCTCTTTCCCCTTCTATCCATCTATTCCTCTATCCCTCTCCCTACTTAACTTCTCTCTCTCTATCTCTCCCTACCTACCTACTGTATTTCTCTCTCTCTCTCTATTCCTCTATCTATCTATCTATCTATCTATCTATCTACTTTTTAAAAAAAAAAGTCTCTTCAAAACCTTCGTGCGTCTTATATTCCAGTGCATCTTATACTCTGAAAAATACGGTAAGTCAGAATGACAGACAACCAATTTTAAATATTTAAATCTGGTTTCTGGTCTTCACTTGTCTTTAAATATTTAATCACACTGCAGTTTTGCATTTCATGAAAAATTATAATCAAATGCCAGATCTTTGTTTTTTTTTAAAAAAATTAAGAGGACCATGAAAAAACATATTAACTTACCTGGAAGATTAAATTATTATGTAAGGTTAATGATCAATAAAATGAATTGCCTTTCCCTTTCTAGCCCTTGCAGCATCTTTGGAAAGCGCTTTGAATAGCACTGCTCGTATCACTTTGCAAGCAGTTACTCTCCAAGAAGCTGCTGTCCAGGCAGTCAATCTTCATGCTCAAAAACTGAAAGAAGCTATGGATAACTCTGAGGTGCACATATTTTATATTTATTATATGTTACATTTTTGTAAGTTTTGTTCAATGTTTTTAATCACTAAGGAAAGGTTGCTAAATGTGTCACGTATTTTTAGAGACCAAAACCAATACAGAGGTGCGATGTAAGTTATTCAATAGAACAGTAGTCCTCACTTACAAACAATAATTGGGACCAGAAACTCCACTGCTAACAATGCAGTCATAAAACACAATATCACTTGACTTCCAACTGACTTTGCCATTGATTTGTTGGAAGCTGGCAGTTAAAGTCACAATAATGATCACAGAATCATTGGACATTGTAACCATTATAATTGCTAGCCGATTGCCAGGCACTCAAATTGTGATCACAGATACGGGAATGATGTGATCTCTCTTAAGTATCCCTCATTCAGTGTCATTGTAACTTTGAATGGTGGCTGAATGCATGGACATTAGATGAAGATTATCTGTAATATTATTCACTTATGAAACTTGAGATGATGTTATAGCATTTTGTTGGAACAGACGACAATACTAGGGAAACATTGTAAAAAAAGGAAAAGGCAATTAGATAAAATCTATTCAGTGGCACTTCCATAATTGCTCACAACAATGCAAAGTGTAACTAAGGAAAAGGGAATCTTTTGTGTAAAACATCACAAACTTCTGATTGAAAAATATAACTTGAACTACACCTATCAGACTCAGATCAGCATACTCTAAGATTCTCTAGAATGTTCCATTCCTGTAAGATTTGATTTTGTATATATTTAATTGAAAGTATAATGTTCTGGTTTAGAAAGGGTGTTTTTCTATTAGAGGGATGAAAACTTAATAGAGATGGTTTTGTACTTAATAATAATTAGTTTAGTGACTATTCAAAGTGAAAGTGGCACAGAAAAAAGTAAATTGTGACTGGTCATTACATATGTCAGTTGCCGCATCCCTATGGTGATATGATCCAAATTTGGGTCTTGGCAATTAGAATGTATTTATGACTGTTGCAGCATCACGAGTCGTGTCATCACCATTTGCAACCTTCTGAATTGGTTTCCGGCAAACAAAGTCTATAGGAAAGTTGATTTTACTTAACAACTTCAGTAAATCTCTTAACAGCTGTTACAAAAAAGGAGCACAACTCATTTAACAATCACTTTGTGATTGTTAAATTCTGGTCCCAATTCTGGTCCCTGGGAAAGGCAACATACTGATGTACTTTTTTCATTTAGCATGACTAAATGCTCAGTATCAAAGTACTCTTATGCATCTTTTTCAATGTTTTGCTCTGAAGATATATTTTGAACCAAGACAGTGCATATTTGTTGATTAGGGACTGTCTGATTTGAAAGAAAAGCTACTTTTTCAAAGTTAGCTAGCTCATTTATACTCCTACTAAAAGGTAGGAGGAAGAACCTCTACAAAGCTTTAGATAATCTGTGCCACTGATGTGGTAAAGTAGAGTACAATAGAGTAGAGTTAGAACAGAATAGAATAGAATACTTTATTGGCCAAGTGTGATTGGACACACAAGGAATTTGTCCAATACTGAATAATAAAAATGATGATTAATGAATAAATGAAAATGATAATAATAATGAAAATGATTGGGTATTTTGAATATTTTGCTAGGTTCCAAGTGAGAAAAAGGCAGTTCAGTGGCGAACTTTAGAGGAAGCATTGAAGGATCGTAGAAAAGCTGTGGATGAAGCTGCCGACATTCTATTAAAGGCCAAGTGAGTTTTCTAGTTTTTATATTTAAAAAAATATTTAAAATATTTGTACTATAAAAATAACAATTTTAGAGCTTTTGTGTTAGATTTTAGTTTCAGTAGTCAGTAACTGAGTTTACAATGAATGAACTAAAGTTTATTTGGATTGGAGTTAGAGTGTTATATTCCCAGCTGTTTTGATTTCTAAATTATTTATAGCTTAAAGGATAACTCCAGGCAGTGTTGCTTCCACAAAATATATGGTTAAGCAAACTCTGGGCTGATGTTATAGATAAACTGTAATCAGTGACTGGAATCAATAATTTAAGTTTTTCCATTGAAATTATATAATTTAATTATATAAGGGTTAGGAGTGCAATATATCTTAATGACAATTATTGGGACTGGAATTTCTGTCACTAAACAATGCAGTTATAAAGCAAGATGTCACTTGATTGCATTCCATAGTGACAGCAATGTTAGTAGTCTGTTACCATCATTAAGTGAGAATTGCAGATTGCTAGGTGAGGACTTCCTTGCAACTTCCTGCTGGTTTCCAAAAAGTACATTCCATGGGGAAACCAGCAGGAAGTTGCAAATCTGAGGCAATGCAAATAGGTTGATGGGTAGGTAAATGGCTGCTCTTGGATCAGGTTTGAGCAGTGACTGCCAATGTGCTGCAAGTGCACAGCAGTCTGGGAATGATTGCTGCTAGTCTAGGAAGGCTGCACAATGGCTGGTGAGGTGTAACATAAGCATTTGCTAGGCTAAGTGTGACTCCTGCGGGGTTTGGGAGATTTACTGAAATGACTTACTACCTTTCCTGTTGACTTCCCCCTTGACTTTACTCATAGGAAGCCACCAAGGTGGGTCACAAATGGCAATCACATAACTGTGGGATGCTGCAGCTGTCACCGTGCAAGCACCTAGATCATAATCATGTGATCACAGGTATATGGACAACTAGTCTTTTAAAGACCAGTTGTAAGTGGAGCTTATACATTCAGAACCACCATAATATCGAATGGTCACTGAAAGACTGGTCCGAGAACTACCTGTCAATAATGCTCAATGAACTTCATTTAAAAGGAATTTATTATTTAATTTTTAAAAGTTCATGCTACCTTATTTGACAAGATCTTTGTTCCCATATGAGATTTTATTTATAGGGATTTTATTCAGCCTAAAACACTTATTTATAATTGAAGCGAATTTATATGGCTTCTCATCACAATCTCATGTGACTCTGAGCAGTATACGGCAAAATCAGTTAAAAACAAATATAAATAACTATAAAAAACTATAAAAATAAAAAACAAGATTTCAGGAAAATTGGCAATATTCTATAGATTTCAACCATCTCACAGACTGACTTTTTGGGATCCCTAAGATTGCTGGAAAAACATTTTAGAGACTTTCCAGAGACTGGTAGAGATGAGGCTTACCTCACTTTAGGGGAACATGTATATAAATATGTAAATATTGTAATGTTCATTTTATTAAACATTTTTACATCTTAGCACCTATGATATTGTGTGAACTTGTGTCTGCTGCCTAAAAAACAACTCCTGCTTTATAGATAATGCACATAGCAGTGACAGATTTGATTTTCATCTCTTTTTTTTTTTTTTTGCTTGAACAAACAATGAATGCTGGTATATTTGATGGATTTTGGTTTCATTTAGAGAAGAAATAGAAAAAATGAAAGGTGTGATTGATAATGCTAAGAAATCTCGTATATCTGGAGTCAAACCTCACATACAGGGCATAGAAGAGAACCTTCATCGTATGATCACTGACTTGGACAATGTAGTCAAAAAGGTAAACTCATACAAAATTGGGTTTTATAGGTTTTCACTGATGTTATGGATATTTCAGTGAATTTCAATACTGAAAATTAATTTATTTGTTAATATCTTAGAAATAAGTTAATATATTTTTTCATAATAAACCACAATACATTTAATAAATATTTTGCTGAGAAGTACGTTAAATGGAAACTAAATTCAGTTTCTTTTTTATTTTTATGAATTATTGGATAATTACTGTTGCCTTTGCATTTTTCTATGTTATTAGTATCTTATCTCTATTTTGTATATTTCTAACTAAGGAGTTTTAAAATTATTTTTAAAATAGTCAGAGGTTAAGAGAGTTAGAACTTAGAACAAGATCTGGAAACATATGAAAGACTGCTGTTTCTTCAAAAGCATTGAATACAATAGCAAATCCAAAATAAAGTTATTTTAGGAAATTGCTTCTCTGTAATCTTTTCATAGTGAACTCTTAAGTTGATAGAAGCTGGCAACATTGTACTAACAGCAATAGGATATATACTTTGATTTCTTTTGAGTTTGACAATATAATGTGTTATCCAAAATTATAAATTATCTTATTTTCAGATGCATTTTTTGCTATCTCTGTTTTTTTTTTTTTTAAAGAGACTTGCTTCCAATTTGTGCCTTCTGGCAAACTGCAGTTTTTTTGGCAAGAGATCTAGCTTGCCATTGCTTTTGTCATAGGTCTGAGAAAGTTCGTTTCTTTCTTTCCTTCTTTTCTCTTCCTTTCTTTCCCCCTAATTAGTTTCCCTCTCTTTTCCCTCTTTCTCATTCTCTCCCTTCAGCTCTATTTCATTTCTTTCTCCCTCTCCCCTTCTCCCCCTAATTTGTTTCCCTCTATTTTCTCTCTTTCCCATTCTCTCCTTCCAGTTCTCTTTCATTTCTCTCTCTCTCGTTCTCTCCTTTTTTCTTTCATCTCTTTCTTGAGCATGCAAGCAAAATACCTTCCTGGGCCAGGGTCATGGCGACAGGGACAGCGACTCCTTCCACTGCTGCCACTGAGAAGTGAGTACTGGCTGCGCTGCACAGGAGACTTCTCAGTGCCACACTCAGGTTGTTCCCCTTTGTGTTGACTCAGGAAAGAGCCAGAGCAGCCGTCTCTGGATGCAGAGAGGTAAGAGTTCCAGAGCCCTGCGCAAGGAGAGCCCTGTGCAGCACAGGAGAACTGGAGTTCTTCTCTCCCTGCCCCCAACTAGCTGCTGCTGCTGCTGCTCCCTATTCCCCTCCTTCCTGAGCCAACATGAAGGGGATCGCGGCTAGTGCTGACCTGAGTCTGGCGCTGAGGAGTCTCCTGCACTATGTACCCCGTTACTCACCTCATTGCGCAGTGGCGACAGCGGGAGCAGAGTCGTTGTCCCCTCTGCCTTGATCCTGGCCCAGGAGGGTATTTTGTTTGCACGTGCAAGAGATGAGCATGAGAAAAGCGCTGGAGCTCTTCCCTACACTGAGTTGCCTGCGAAGAACACGGAATCGCAAAAGCAGGCTCGAGGCTCGTGCCTTCTCGGGGAAGAGAGCAGATTGCACGATTGGGTCAGCAGGGAGTCGCAGGAGAGGGGCCAAAGCCTATTAAGACTGTTACCTATGCTAAGCATGGGTAACAGTTTTAATAGGGAATCTCAGCGTACACGCATCCCACATTCCTTTTTTTATTTTCCCCGCCTTATTTTACACCTCAGAAATGGTACCTCTTGGCTTCCATAGCTCTGCCCATCAACCTCCATCACTCAGAGCAAGCTGCTTTCCCAGCATCCTCTGTGCTGCGCACATTTCTCTTTCCCCCCTCTTTGCCTCCATTCTAGCTCCTACTTTCCACCCACCCACCCCACACACACATCTCCTTCCGCTGCACGGCGAACCCGAACCGCTCCTTCCCTTCAAGCCGGCTTCTCACCAGCCTCTCCATGGGAGGCTCCTCGGCGACCCCTGTGAAAAGGTTGTTCGACCCCAAAAGGGGTCGTGACCCACAGGTTAAGAACCACTGGCCTAGAAGTTCACAGAACTATAGAAAGTGGATGTTCATGTCTTTCCTGTGGAGGGATTAAATCTATCATTTGTTGTATGGAACTTCCATTCAGTTCCATCAGTTGGAAGCTAAGATGTATGTGTGTGTAACATTCATTAGCCTTCTGAGAACCAGAGATACAAATAGTCAATCTGGCTTTTTTCTTCATATTCTCTGTAGTCCTGGAATAGGCTACTAAATTACCAGGTCTTGAGTAGGTGTAGAGGTCCTATTCAGACAATAGGAATATTAGAGAAATCATTTGAGAATGAATCATTTTCATCATTCTCAAAGAATCCTCTAGCTCACATTGAGAAATGGACAATTTGCCCATGTAATTTTAAAATATGATTCTTCTGCTTTTATTTCATTTTTAGTATTTTATCATCTGCCTCATATAATTATTATTATTTATTATTATTTATTATTAAGCATTTATAGGCCGCCCTTTTCCCTGAGGGGACTCAGGGCGGCTTACAATAATAGGGGAGGGGAGTGCAGGACAAGACACAAAAAG